TCAGCATTGATTCAGGCCCACCCAAGCAGAAGATGCAACACTGGCATATGCCAGGAGGGCTGGGGCTGCCCAGTCTCTGAGTTTCTATTTCAGCTCAGCCGCCAGCAGTGCCCAGGCAGCCTGCAGCCAGGCTACGTGACGGACACTGTCTGGCATGGGGTAACCCTCGTCCTAGCTGTGGGACCCACTTGAGAAAGACACACTGCATGACCAGCTGAGTCTCTCCAACTGCAGTGAGGGAGTGGGACCCACCCGGACCTACTTGCAGAACCCTTCCCCTGCTGCCGGCCCTCCATATCTTTGTCTTACAGATTTCAGCTATTTGAAGATCTTCAAATGCAGCTATTGGAGTCAGAGATGTTACCCAATCCTCAACACAGTTTTATCCTCCTTAAAGAGAAGGGTTTATAAAATAAGATATATTTTATTTCAATATGCTTCAACCGGTTGGTCTGAAGAGGCAACTAAGAGAAGGCACAGAGGATCTTGAAAACTCACTAAGCACTAGTGAATGAAATATTACTCAAAGGAAACAAAACACTTCCATGACCTTGACTTCTCTTCTTCTTGAGAATCCAGTTATCTCAGATCAAACAATTTTTTTTAAAACTCTTTATGTTCACCTCTGCTGCTACTGAAATCAGGCTTCCTCTAGAAATTTTGGTGTTAGTTGCTGATCTGTATTACAATAATTAATTTTGCCTTAAGGATACAATCTGTATGATTTTTTCTTTTTTTACAAGGTTTCCACTCACTTTTAAAAGCAGAAGTTCCCTCACTTATAGTATGGCTTCACAAAGAGGGAATTGGCATGGGTGAGGCTGGTAAGGGAGGGCAGGTACTCCTTAGGACCACAAAAAGATAAACTGAGGTTTAACAGTGCTAGTGTGAACACTCAGCTGACAAAATTGGAGCAGTCATGTAAAAACATGACAGAGCAGGAGACCTAAGGAATTTTTACTCAGAGTCTGCTTAATTGAGTAGTCATCTTCTCACAAAAGCCAAACTGCCTCAGAGGAAGATGCAAGAGAGTCAGACAGATGGGAATCACCATCTCATTGAAACTATTTTTTATATATAGGATTTTTTTTGAGACCAGGGCACCAAACCAGTATCACAGAAAGTTCCACCTAAGACCTTCCACACAGACCATCTTTCCACTTTGTGAAGCAACAACAGCTTTCCTTCCACTGATTTTCTTTTTTTTTTTTAACGGCTATAGTCAATTAAACAAGGTAACTGTGGAAGCAGCTTCCACAGTCACACTGATCAGGCCACAGGGCCCAGATAATGGTCTGTAGCTTCCTTCCTGTGAGGTGAAGTTATTACTTTCAGATTAATTTCATCTCTGAAAACTGAGTCCTTTTCCTCAGAGTTACACAAGGTTTTATGATATTCTGAAGGGGAATAAAGAAAAATAGTGACAGCTGGAAGGTAAAAAAATACCTCCACAAACTGCTGATGGATGGAAGAGCTGCACAATAACCACTACTCCTTTTTACTCATTAGTCCTCGTGCTAAGATAAACTGTGACCCCAGTGCCAGCAAGATCCTCATTTGTCTGCCTTAGATTGCTGGACAGGATTAGCCGGGTCTGCTGGTGGGAGGACAGCTACGGCTCCTCCTCAGCTCACCTCCTCTCTGCTGCAACAGCTCCCTGAGCTCTCCTACCCTCTAGTCCATCATAAAGGATGCGGTCGGGCTGGAAGAGAGCAAGAACCTTTGGTCTTGCCAGCCAGTCATCTAAGCTCAGTGAAGCTCTAGATGCACAAAGCAGCCAAGCAAAAATCTGCTCTTGGTGGTACGACAAACTCATGCTCAGAGCAGTCATCACCCAGCTTTCCTTCCCTTCCACATAGTGCTGTCATCTTGGAAACTGTGAAGATACTGTTTTGGTGGCTTTGAAGGTGAAGAAGGTT